GGGGGGGGGGGGGCCCGCAGCAGCTACGGCCTAAAAATAGCGTTACTTTAAACTTGTTCTTCTTCTTCTGAGGGAACAGCATGTGTGTGAGTCTCGTTGACCCTCTCAGCCGTCAGATCGGGGCTTGGAAGAGGGGAAACCTGACTGATGAAGACATTTATCAAACCCTATCGCAGCCTGTGACACCGGCAGCTGAATATAGAGGGAAGCCTCTTCTCTAAAACTGCTTTAAAAATAAACCGTTTTCAGATAAGAATTGCGAGAAATGTATGAAAAATAGGGACAGGATATTTTTGTTTGAGTTTGCATTTTGCATATGAAAAACCCAGTAGGCGATTGTCCGGGTCAGACAGGATCGTTCAAGCGAGGGGTGGAGGGATATCGCAGGTTTTACTTTACAGCAGCGTTTTCTCTTATCACCAAAAGCTCTCAAACCTCATCGACATGTATGACACCTCTTTTTCAATCTGAGATAGTTGTATTCTTTTTGTCACTTGTTAGTACATCATCGAACACGCCCACTATTTTACAAGGGGGCTGGCAGGAAGAGATCCGGGAAATGTCCCTAGCGAGGCAACTGGCTCGGACGTTTGCATCCTCACATCTGAAAACGTTCACAAAAATGTCTGGACTTCAGAGCACGTCTGAAAGCAGCTTTAGATTCAAATTCACATGCTCGTGCGCAGCCTGGTCAGCGCCAGCACGGCCCGCATACCGGCCATGTATTATGAATGATGCAGCAATGAAAAAGCTTATTGATCGCAGCCATTCAGCAAACACTCAAATGCGTCGGCTGGAGCCGTGTCTTACCCAAAGTGAAGTGGTTTTTGAAAGAGCTACTGGCTACGAGGAGAGGAAGGAGAGAAGGAGGGTTAAACAGAGGGAGGGGGAGGAGAAAATAAAAGAGGAGTAAGTGTCACTGGTGTCATGTAAAAACTGTCTGTTGAATTTTGTTTTACATGAAAAGCAACCCAGTGTGATGCGATGATGGCATTTTAAACCCAAGCGATATGATGGAAAAACATAATCAACAGCCGAACTGCTTCTCCCTCTATGTCCTTGTGACACTTTGAGCCGACAGCGATGAGAGCACAGTGAGAATCAGTGAAAATATTCTACTGCACAAACACACTGACGCTGTCCCAACTGTCCACTGCTCCATGTTCTGCCTACAGGGACATCGAACAGAATAGGAAGGGACACAGTATCTTAGTCTCACTGTCAATATGCACCAGCTGCTTAAAGGATCAGGCTCTCTAATCTTAATAAATCTAAAGGGTGTAAATCGTCTGGCTCCTAATATATCGTTTCATTAATAAATAGTGTTACAGCTAGTTTTCAGCATACAGCACTGTTACAAGAAGAACAATTGCATTTGTTGGGGACTATTTTCAGTGGTGGATTAACACATTTGTTGTAAGTATTTAAGTTTGTTTGTAGTGAGTCTTTACTGCAACAGAACAGTGTTGTGATTTTGTATATTTTGTGACTTAAACGTCTAGTGGGGGACACACCTGATGGTCGTGGGAGGGCGGGGAAGGAGGGGGCGTGACTCTGAGCCCCCAGCGCTGAGGACAGGGAGCCTGGCCGCTGTCTCTCTATCCCACACAGGGTGGGGTCTGAATTGGAGAGGGACATCAGATAGAAGAGAAAAAATGGTGAAGGTATCGATCACATTTAGTTCAAATATATATCTAGTCCTCCTGTAAAGATCAACCCCCCCGACCTTTCAGAGAGGGGTCTCTGAAGCTTTGGGAGCGCGACGGCCGAGCGGTGAACACGTCCATCCGCATGTCGGCGGGCGAGATCACTGGCGCTCGATCCCACGATGGCAGCTGGGACTGGGACTGGATGAGACAAGGGATGAGGAGGAAGGAAGAGAGAGAAGCAGATGGGAAGTAGAAAGAGAAAGACAAAGGAAGACGAAGTGAGTCTCTTTCATGTGTTCTCAATAATTCATAAGCAGCAGCTTTGATGTGGAGGATACCTGGGTGCTGGAACCTTCCCCACCCATCAGTCTCCGTCTCTCAGAGGCAGTTGAAGCCGACTAAGGTCATTTCTTCACCTCCTATTCTCACTTGGGGCTCTTTGAACTCCTTGTCACTTTCGCATTTCACCCACTTTCACTCCCCTAACTTTATCTCCATCACTCCCTCATTCCATTKCATGTACAATTAGGAAACATTTAAGCCTCTTACCAGGGGCCGTGCCGATCTGGCGTTGGGGGGCAGGTTATGAGCGGGTGCCTGACTCGCTAGGGGACCATGGGAGGGTGGCATGGCCTGGACCCCCGGGCTCCACGGACCCTCCACGTCCCTCCGATTCTTACTCTTAGAAAAATGCCTGCGAATAATGAGAGCATGAAGTGAGTCTGTGTGACTAAGCAGCCTTGGAAAAAAAAAGCACAATAAACGCTTTATTCATCAAATATCTCGACTAAGGATATTTCTAGTGCTTGAAGCTAAATCCAAAACAGGAACTGTTTTTTTCATCCACGCACAGAAAGCAGTTATTATCTCTGAGCTACTGTTTCAAAAAAACAGCTACATTTTCAAACTGTGGGCGTCGAAATTTGGGACAAACATCATTAGTTGTTGCTTTTATACATTTTCACTCCATGAGCTGAAAATATACATGTAGTCAATTAAAACCCACTTTTGTGATCCATTCTACAGTAAGCCCTTTTTCCACCCAAGCAAAAAAAACAAAACAAAACTAAGGGCACACACACACACACACACGATTGTATCAGTTCAGATGTGAACTTTGGTCGAATTTAACTCGTGACATTCAATTTGCATTCGTGTATGTGTGTCAGCGCCCTGTGAGGAGTGATGGTGGTGTGGAGCTGCAGTATCGACCTCCCGCAGATAAACAGGTTCAACCAATCGTGAGCCAGTCTCAGCTGTCAATCATCAAATCATTTACTGCGATGTAAATTACTGGGACTGCCAAAAAAAAACTGCCATTATTCCAACGTTACTTCAAGGTGGTTAGCCGTCCAGCTAAATGTACTAAATGCTAACCCAATGTCCAGTAGAGTATAGACCCTGTAAGATTATCTGAATTGATTGTTCTGGGGTCAATATTGGACTTGTACTTTGGTGTGTGTGTGTGTGTGTGCTGACTGTCAGCGGTGGTGTGTTTGCAGACACACTGTCAACAGTTTGTTTACATGCCTGAAATTCTTCTAACCAATTTGGAGATCAGACTCTGAGTCAGAGGCCGGCAGGAATGAATTTCAAGAAAAAATTAAACATCCACCTTGTGGAGGCACTGAAGCAAAAGTCAGGGGAGAGAAAAACTAATTTAATTAATAAATTAAATTTAGAAAACTGAACATTTCTCACTTTTGGACAGTTTGTCTGGCGAGTCACGACATTTTGATCATGTGGAAACTTGTGATTTTACTCACAAAACAATGAATGTGGAAGATAATTAGCAGGATGATCAGTTTTTTCAAATGATAATTAGCAATGTGACTAATCCTCACCATTTCTTCTTCTCATATTTGTCCTGCAGGAACTCTTTAAACTTCTGCGAGTCCTTCATGTCGGAGCAGCCGTCCGTCTTTGGGTCAAACACACACAGCCAGGTCCTCCTCCCGATCTGAGCGCACACACACGTAAACACATTTGAAAAGAAAACACTGAGAAATCATGTGGCTCGCTGAAAGTCACACAGCATCAGAAGGGGGGGTCTGTGTCTAATTGCTGGAGCATGAAATCATACAACAATCGCTGCTTTTGTTCGGCGTTTAGTCTCTTCCAGTCTCTCGCAAACACACAACATCACTGATTCATCTCCAGCACAAGAGTCAGAGAGCGGCAAATATTACTGCCTGTGAATCATGATGGGCCCGATCGCTCCTCAGAGGATGACGAGGAGGAGAAAGAGCCGGACGACACACACACCTCTGCCTCCACCCTCACAATATACTTGACCCACACACACACACATGCTGGGCTACAGCGAGCTGATAAAAATGGACAGCACTCATCTTGATAGCCTGAAACGCTTCACACTTCATCCGTGTGATATAAGCTCAGGAGCGAGCGCCGGCCTCACCAGTGGTTCCCATGTGTGAGTGGGAGCTGTCTGGTGCCTTGTTTTTTCATATATATAAATTATATATCACACTTACATTGTCAAACTGATTAAAAAGATCATGGTGGTTGTCCGGCTAGCCACAGATTGATTGTCATGGCAACACAAGCTCAATTGATACTGGATTGTTGAGTATTTTTTTGCCATTTTCTTACATTTCATAGATCGAAGGATCAATCGAGAAACATAATCAGCTTATAGACTGATACCAAAACTAACCTTAAGTTGTTATCTTTATGCATAAACAAACATTTTTAGTGAATAACCCTTAAATGTCCTTTTTGCTAAAGATCTTTGGTCATAAATGGACTGAGTGAGATATTTCTCTATGAAGCAGTGCGCTGGTTCAAAGCAGTTTGGGAACCTCTGGCTTCTCAAAACAGAAACACACACACACACACACACACACACACACACACACACACACACACACACACACACACACACACACACACTCTATCTCACATACAAACACAAACACACGCGCACACACAGACACACACACAAGGACACAGAAAGGAAATAGATCGTGGTTTGGGTGGGACAAAAAGAGCTGGTCCCTTTTGTTTCTTGGCACCGTGTGACCCAGCAGCAGCATTCTTCCCAAAAACAACTCGCCCACAAAGACTGGGTGAGCTGGTCGCTACGAGGGATGTTTCATGTTTCACATCCTAACCAGAACATTTGCGTTTGAAAAAAGCTGAAACTCAAAACTCATGAGCTTCTGCCGCATTTTGCCTCCTGACCTTGGACGACCTTACAAAGTCCAAAACAACTCGAGAAAGTCCCTCTGTCACCTGATGGATGTCACTCACTCACCTCGTTGCCATGGTTTTGCAGGAATTCCACTTCCTGTTGGGAGAAGGTCGTCATGGAGATGGACTTGACTCTGTGGGGAGGGTTGAGGCCTCTCCTGGGACACGGAGGAGAGATGGAGAGAGGGACTTAGAGTCGCATGATTCAAACATAAAAGAAGAAGAAGAAGAAGAAGAGGAGGAGGAGGTGTGGTGATTCCTGGTCTGTGAGAGGAGACGTGAGGACGGAGCAGGTGGAACTGTTTGACAGGTGACCGGGGAAGAAGGTGCCACACACACACACACACACACACAACATACACACACACACACCCTGCACAGATACACATGTTTGCAGTCACCACAACCTGCATGTGTGTGTTCTCCATGCTGGGGGGGGGGGGGCACAAAGTGGGACACTGCTCTAAGGTGTGCAGGATTGCGCAATAATAACAGTGCTGAGATCTTCTTCCTGATGAGGAGTGCTGGGACTGTAGGCTAAACATGCACACGCACACACACACACACACTCACTCATGTGCACGCCCACACTGGAGAGGAACCTGGAGAGAGAGAGAGGGGGGGGGGAGAGGTAGTGTCAAACCTGCACCATGACGAAATGAATGACCAAGTAGCTGAGAGAGAGAGAGAGAGAGAGAGAGAGAGAGAGGAAGAGAAAGAGAAAGAGAGACTGCGTAAATGAACGTGTGCACACATCCCCTGCTGCCGTTGCACCGCACCAACACTCCCTGTTTACGCAGAAAAAGGCGCAGATGAGGCGCACGGTCAAATCAGTGTGTGCACGGTGCGATCACAGGCCCCAGGCTACTTTCTTTCTACTATCACGCCGCTGCCGATGCGGTGGACAATGTGCGGTGGATAATGTGCGGTGGATGCTGTGCGGGGATCCTACTCACAGCATTCCGGAGCACGACGTGCACACGAAGCTCCCCACCGTGATGTCGGTGTAAGTCACCCCGGGCTGGCTGCACTCGAAGCAGTGTTTGTTTACTCCGGACTGGGCCAGCTCCCGGACCTTGCGGGCGCAGATCTCCTGGTTGTCCCGGTGCTTTCGGTTCGACATGGTGCTGCGATCCGCTCTCTCCCCGCTCTCCGGTGCCTGGCGGGCGGACACGGGCTCGGTGCAGACGCCGCTGTCCTCCTCCTCCGCCTCCTCCTCCGTTCACCTCACGGCCGCATTATGGAAGCGCTGCTCCTGCGGCTTCACCCACAGAGAGAGCGGCTGAGGAGGCGTCAAGATACACGGAGGCACACAGGCACGAGCCGGAAGTGTCCTCTTCAAAGTAAACGCGAGTAGCAGGTGGAGTAGTACGGTGGCCGAGAGAGCTCAGCGCACTGCAACTTGAGAAAACATGTAAACAGAAGAGAATTAGGAATAATTAAGAAAAAAACTTTATTTCATGCGTTACAAAAAGTCACAACACATGCAAATGCTTAACACGTTCGAAGGAAAGAAAGAAAGAAGGAAAGAAAGAAAGAAAGAAAGAAAAGGCATCTGGTGTGTGTTGAAATCACTGTTAAAAATGAATTTAATCAGTTTTAAAACAAATGAGACTTGTTTGAACACATTGTTCTGGACTTATTAATATGTATTACATCAATATTGAAAATAAAACCTTTTTAAAAGCTTTATTTGTCAATCAAACAATGTGTATTTTGAAGAAACAGACAAACTTAAAGGTTCAGTGTGTAGAATCTAGTGACATCTAGGGGTGGAGTTGCGTGTTGCAGCTGAATACCCCTCACCTCAACCTCCACTTCCAAATATGAAAGAGGAACCTGTGATAAACTTCAGTTGTCATAAAAACTCAACAGCAGTTTAGTTTGTCCAGTTTCAACACCAATCTGATGCAAATACAGATGTAAATACAGAAACGTGCGGCTAATAGCGAAAATGACACTGGAAATGTTTCCAGGGGACAAAAAACAGTGATGAACCTGGTTGTAGTTTAAAGCTTTGTGAAGATATTGAAGGCCGCTCCTTGTCAGTTGCGACGAAACACTAACTTTTGTGTTAATCTAAATAAAAAACTAATTTGTTTGCTTGTTTTTGTTTAAAAGTGGCCTTGTGGTTGATCCTGCATCTCATCTTGATTCTGTTTCTTGACAACAAACCTGTCGAAATCTAATTTGTCTGTTTTTGTATTATTTGATTGTTTTGGCCAGCAGTGAGGAGATGACAGGAAGCAGGAGGGACAAAATGAGGAATGACATGAAGCAAAGGTCTTTGGCCGGACTTGAACTTGTTTGGTCAGAACTTTAACTCCTAAATCACCAGATTATCACCAGCATCTGCTTCAAATGAGCAATAAGAAAAGAAACAGGAAACAAGATCACATTCCTCTGGTTTAAGTGTCTTTACACTGACCTTTTTATAATGTAAGACATATGATCAATTGTTATTCCACTAACCAAACATTAATAGGTCAATGTGACATATAGCCTACAGTAAAACTGGAAACGTGTCATACAAATACAGTCAATTTGACAAAAAACTTTATCAAACCAATGACAAACCAAATCCATATACTGTCCTGTAAAAACGAATGAACCTGAACCCTTTGGTGCAAAGTGGCTATTGGTCATATATGTCCTTCAAACCTTGTCTCTGCATCTTCCAATCAAACAAGTAGTCTCGTTGCTGTTACTTTTGTAAAAACCCACCGGATGTAACACCTTGTCTCCTCTCCGACTTGACGCTTGGACAGACGCGTAGGGGATCTCCTGTCAAGAGACAAACGAGAACCTGTCCAACAGCTCAAGTTTTGCATGCATCTGAAACAACGTGTTATTTCCTCTGTCACAACCGACTGTCTTTCCTTCGCGTCCGCGCCTGCTGCGCTCTGACCGTGCGCCAGTTGCGCACACGCCCTCCTCCTCCTCCTCCTCCTTTTTTGGCGCACCGCTGCTCCTGACGCACGGGCGCTCTCCAGAAAGGGGGACAGGATTATTTTTAGGGACTCAGGAAAGAGACATTGAGTAGTTTTTTTTATTAAATTGAAAGCTAATTAAAACATTAATTGAAATTAACTCTAATGTTTGTTTCTAGAAATCAATTTTTGTTTTTTAAATAAAACAGTTTTTCTTGGGCATTGAAGTCATATTAACACTGGAGGTCGGTGGAGGGCAACATTTGAAAGCTTTTTGTCCTGGACTATTTATTTTGATGGAGCAACCTAGCAACACATGAGGCCTAACTACGCCCTTTCCGTGACAGTGTCTGAGAATTTCACTGTTTGGCACAAACAACGTGATCAGTGGTGAGGTCAGTGAAGGCAGCACATTACTGTCATCCTCTAAAGAGAAAAAACAAAGATCATCTGAAACATCACATGAACTGAAGAGAAGGAAGAGGGAATCCAAACAAAGTCAGGCTCCCTCAGACTGCAGGGACTGTGTCTGACCACAAGGGGGAGCCACACACGCCGTCAATCACTAGATAGATGGATGGATGGATGATGGATGGATGGATAGATAGATAGATAGATAGATAGATATATGGATGGATGATAGATACACAGATAGATAGATAGATGGATATATGGATGAATGATAGATACATAGATAGATAGATAGATAGGCAGACAGACAGACAGACAGACAGACAGATAGATAGATAGATAGATAGATGCATGGATGGACAGATGGATGATAGATAGATAGACAGACAGACAGACAGACAGATAGATAGATAGATGGATGGATAGTGTTTGTGAGAGAGAACAGTCAGACATGAGCTGCAGTAATTTTCACCTCCCTGCCTTTAAAGCGTCTGGTTTCTCAACCACCGGCTTCAGAGCGTCTGAAGACACCAGTTTGTGGTGATGATGACAAAGTGCAGTTGTCTATTTAAAGTTGCTCAACACACTGAAATGCTCAGTTTGGTCTCTTTACGTGACACCGTGAGGTATGGAAGCCCCACTCTGCCAGAAAGAAAGAAAACAACCTTGTCACAAATATTTCAAAAGTTTAAATTACTCTCACATAATCTCCTCTTAACTAAAAACACAGAGAGAGATTGTGTTCTTACTTGTTTTTAAAACAAAATTTTATATTTCAGCTTTTCTGATGAACAATCCATCCTCTGGCTACAAACTGCTAAAAATGTATTTTTATGATTTTGCATTTAATTTATTCATGTATTTTCTTAACATTAGTCCAGACAACCCACATCCGTCATGTAAGGCTGGTTATTGGGCCTATATCATGTATATCATGTGTACAGTTTAAATCTACAGTTTAATTATAACATTTGTGCAATGATAATTATATATTATTCATATAATATTGATATTATTAAAGGTTCAGTGTGGAAGATGTCGGGGAAAGGGATCAAATGGCAGACATTGAATATGAAATAATCCTAGTGATGTTTTCACTTGTGAAACAATCCTTTATATTTAAATACTTCATATTTACATCAGGTGTGGGTCCTCTTTATGGAGGCCGCCATGTTTTTTACACACTAAACAGTTTTCTGAGAACTGAAGTCTGCCACAGGTTCTCCTTCATGTTTAGATGGAGAGGGTGAGGTGAGGGGTATTTAGCTGCAACGTGCAACTTCACCACCAGTTGTCGCTAAATTCTACACACTGAACCTTTAAATCATATTTTATGTCTTTACATATTTACGTTATTGATGGTTATATTCAACATTATATTACGTCATAGTATTACTTTTGTATTTCAAAGTTTCAACCTCACAAAAGCCATACCACTACTCATCTACTTCTTTTTGTTTCTTGACATGCAAGGTCTTCCATACAAACGGCTCACTCTCAAGGCTTAAAGTGGCTCCTCTGTGCAGCTCAGCAAAAACAAAAGGTTGTCAGACAAGAATACACACCCAGTGTCTGAGCCTCACAGTTCCCTCACATGGAGGACTGGAATACACACAAACAGGCAACAACACAAACCAGAGGCCCAACTGAAGTATCAAATGATTATAGGTCTTTGAATTCCTCATCTGGACATGATGCAACCCAGTGGATTAAAAGGAAAGTTATTAGAGGCCTGTTTTTTTAAGTGTAACCTCTCATTTTGTCTCTGTTTCCTACTTCAGAAACCACAATTTGCGTGTGTGTAAGGAGAAGAAACCCGGAAATGTGAGATGTGAAGTGGAAGGGGTGGACCTGCGTGCGTGCGTGTGCGTAAAAGAGAGAGAGAGAGACACTATTCCTCCAGTGTGAGTCCGTGGGAACAGCTCCACATCCACTCCTCAGGCTTTCATCTGATTTCTCTGCTTTACTTTGGATAATTTTAATCAACACGGATATTTTATTTCTGATCAAACTTTTCTTTCCCTCACTTTTGTTTTTCATCTGCTGGATAAAAATGGAAATTACGCATGCGTCCTCCCCTGCGCTCATTAATCCGCGCTGACAAGTCGTGTCAATGCGCGACAGGAAAAACACATTTATACCCGTGTAAGAAAGCGACAATGATCCAGGCTGCGAATGTGGAGAGTTAACACGGAGGAGGTTTAGTGTTTTCCTGCTGCTGCTCTTCGTCTCTTCCGACTCCAAAGATTCACTCGAGTGTCGGTGGTCTATCTCGGAGCAGGGATGACAGTCAAACTGGACTTTGAGGAGTGTTTGAAAGACTCCCCTCGATTCAGGTAAGAGTTTCACCTGCTTCAGCCTTTTTCTCACTGTGATGATGGAGCCAATGAGAACTATGAACTGTGACTCATCTCATTTATTGAGTTTAGATTAAGTTCCAGGAAAGTGGGCACAATCTCAATTTTTAATCCAACTCAGTTTGATTTGTTTGGCACCAAATATCAATATTTATCATCTAAAGGTACAATTACAGAGAAGTTTAAACTCTGTCAGACTGGTTATTGTAATAAAAGATACTTAAATAGGGATGTCATGATGAACAGCAGCAGCACCAGTAAATAGGAAACTAATAGTATTGAGAATAAATAAAAAGGTTTTGATAATAAAGATGTCAGTAATTAGATTTTAATATCAGTATCTTCTACTTCATTTTGTAATTTAGCTTTTATTTAACCAGGAAGGTCCCATTGAGATACAATACATCCTCTACCAGGGGGTCCTGGTCCTGATGTGCAGCATTTAAAGTTAAAACATTAAATATCAAGGATAAATAACACACACACACTCACGCAAGCTAGACTACTGAAACACAGAACAAACATAGAAACATAACAAATCTGTGGCTGGAATAGATTATGGAAAATAAATGTTAAAAGCAATGACATTGTTCAATGAAAACTAAATGTTTTCAAACAAAAAACAAGGAGAATGTTCTCTACTAATAAATCATTATCCATGCTTGTGTTTATTCTTCATGTTATGCACATTTGCAGTCATGCATAGTGGTTTTATTGTGTTGATGTGGCTTTTCAGGCTCCAAACAACTTAAAATTGCGATGCTTGCAATCTGTATGTCAGCGTCAAGCTGTGTCATGTAGGTGTTTGGGGTCAATAAAGGGAACAACACCTGCAGGCCTGGATGGCTGAAACCTCTGATCCCAGGTCTGATTAAAGTTTGCCACTGGGCCACAGGAAGCTTCGATCTGTCCTGGAAATTCCGAAACATGTAATTAGAACAACCTAAATAAAGATAACAAGTTGTAATGTAGGTGATTAAAATCATGGATTTCCTAAAAGTACTCAAACATTCTTCACATCATCATTGCTGTGCTCTACTCAACAGCTTATTTCAAGCTTATAAAACCTCATTCAGCTGTCACTGGAGCCACATTCAATCTGTCTTTCAACACAGTATCAACATCTGGCGTAACCCAAAGGGAAGTGTCACTAACTTGGTTATGCAAGCAGCTCCTGAGACTTCGGCAGGGCCTGGGTGTGCCCTGATAGCTCTGCTGCGTCTCGCCTGAGGCCCGGTGGCTGCTTACGTCCCCTCCAGCTGATCTGACATATTTCAGCCCTGAGTCTCGGCCTCACTTTCTCACCCCCTCTCCCACCCCCTTCGTCTGTCTCTGCTGCCTGTATTGGATTTAAGAGACTCGCACGGTGGTGGAAAGTTTGAGTCGTGGCAGCTGCAGTGGTGAGGTCCCGTGTCAGGGTTAGAGAAGCAGAGGGGTGAAGGAAAACAGGAGAAAGGGAGGAGAAGGAACGAGAAGGAAGGCCGGAGTTATCACACAGTCAATAAAAGAGATAAACGAGGACAGAGAGAAAGGGAAGTGGCGGTGCTGCCTCCTGTTGCTAGGTAACGATGAGAGGTGGTGGGGCGACAGGAAGTGAAGCGAGATGCGCAGAGGTGATCAACAGGAGAGACAGGAAGTGTGCGTTCTGCGGGGAGAACCACGGCGGAAACTCAAACTAATTCGCTCTTGTGCTCTCTCTCAGTTCAAGAAGAAATGAAGGTGCCGCTTTAACGTGCCATCTTCCCCTCCTGTGGCCTCCTGATGCCCTTTCCCATCAATCCCTCTCTTTTCTTCTCTCCCTCCCTCCTTAGCCGACTCGTCCCTTTGGTCACATTTCAAGAAGTCGTGACCTCAGGCTTTGATTCCAGCATCCCCGCACTAACAAACACAGGAACACAAACACTCACTGTCTGTCCAGGGCCTCTTCTCTCTCTCTCGCTCTCTCTCCCCTTTTTTCTTTCCTTCCTCTGTCTCTCTCTCTTTTGCTCTGTCTCTCTGTACTGTCGGTGGAAGGCAGCGGAAACCACATAGTTGAGCTGTTGGTTTGAGGAGGGACGATACTGACTGTCTCACCAAAAACGGTCATGCACACGCATTACTGAGGCTCTTCTGTGCAATCAGTTCGACACTGCAGAACAAAAACACTGGATGTTTGTCTTTAACGTCTCAGCGTGTCGTTACCTCCTGCTGGCCGACACAATG